CATTTTACCATGTTGGTTTTATCATCTCCTCTTTTTTTGAACTGTTTGCAAGTAAATGGCATATATGGTATTCCTTCACCCTTTAATACTTTCTAAGATCAGGAAGGCTTGTCTTATAGAACCTTAGTGTGGTTACCAAATTTAGAAGTATAATAACCTGCAGTTCGTATTTCATTCCCATCGATTATCCCTCAGGAAACTTCAGTCTGATGTGACTATTCTGGGGCTAAGATGGACAGGAGCCAGGGGTAGGTTTGTGAATCCCAAAGTAGAGATGGCAGCTTCCAGCCCAGGTTCCCATTTGACAAGGCTCATAGTTGTATATGTTGGGCTGCTGATGGCCGCAGAATGGCTCATGAATTGAATCTCATTCACTTTCCCCACAAAGCCTGTGAGGTTGGGTGGGGTAGCCCCATTTTAAAGCTGAGGAAGCAGGTTCAGGAGTTAAGTAGAGTGATGTGCTTGGATACTGTTAGATTTTTGATGGTTTCAGAACTGGAAGGAGTTTTCTTTCTGAGTTAAGTGAGCCCCCTGATGCCTTGCCATGTGGGAAGCGTTGGCATGTCAATGCATGTCCCTTCATGAGGGGAAAAGGTGAAGAGGAAAAGGGGCAGGGAGATAGGGAGAGAGAGCAGAGGCTCCTGGAATTGCCCATTCCCACAGTGACATCTACCAACAGGTTTTTACTCTCCCCTTCTTGACTGTGGGCCTGTCCTCCCAGTGCCCAGCAGGGCCCATGTGTGTCATTTCAGGGAGCTACTTTGCTCGAGATGCCGCATATTCTCACCACTACAGCAAATCTGCCACGCAGACCCACACGATGTTCCTGGCCCGGGTGCTGGTGGGCGACTTCGTCAGGGGTAATGCCTCCTTCGTCCGTCCCCCTGCCAAGGGAGGCCAGAGCAATGCTTTCTATGACAGCTGCGTGAACAGCATGTCTGACCCAACCATCTTCGTGGTCTTCGAGAAGCACCAGGCCTACCCTGAGTACCTCATCCAGTACTCCAGCTCCTCCAAACCCCCTACCACTGGCTCCTTCCTCGTGGCCCTGGGCTCCCTATTTGGCAGCCGGCAGTGAGGGCGGCTGGGGTGCTCCAGGCCAGCTCATCTCTTTTGGAAGAGCTGTTCAGGATGTTTTTCTTTTTAAACAAAACTTTTAATGAACTGTTGTTTAATGTTGGCTTCTCAATGAAGTTAAATTCTTAATCCCTTGCTGGTAATAGTTTTCCCTTTTAGGTCACTTTTGGGCTTGCTTGTGAATTTGCCAGAAGTGACTGTAGGTGAGCCCAGTTTTGCTTTTTAATAATGTGTTAATATTGTATTTGTACTCTGCTGACTTTGCTGCTTATTGGCATCAGACACAGAGTTTATAGACACTGTTTTATGGATTTGTTTTAATTGTTAAGGGTTTCTATCTCTATAATGATTCCATTTCTCAGGGTCTCATGACCTCTGTTTTGCCTTTCATCAGAGGCACTGTAGCTGTGTGGGGACGAATGGAGTGTGTGGAGGGACCCAGGACAGGCCTGGTGTAGCTCTGTCAACATCTGCCTTATGATCTGGCACCAGCCCAAGCAGCTCTATGGCTGATGCTCCTGGGCTCTGTTGTTGGTTGAGCTGTGTCATGTTGTCAGAGCAGTGGCTCCTGTGTGGTGTCGAGTCCCTGCTGGTTTTCCTTCGTCTTAGTGGGGTCAGCAGTCATCCAGAGGAAACAATAGCCACCCTGGCAGGAGATGTGGATGAGTACCCCGACCCCTGGGCCTGGCCTGTGAATGCCCATATCTGTATCCCTTAAGCACATTGGACACCTCCAAGTGTGGGTTTTATGTCCCTATGAGGTTGAATACCTGTGCTGCAAATGTCACATGAGAGTATGGAAATAAAAGACTATTTATCTGAAGTAGATGAAGACTGGAGCTTATTCTTCTGTGTCTATTTTATTGAATAGCTTCTGGGTACCAGATTCTTTTCTGAATACTGGGAACTGTTTTAGTCCTTTGGACTGCTGTAATAATGTTCCATAGATTTGGTGGTTTGTAAACAACAGACATATATTGCTCCCAACTAGAGGCTGCAAGTCTAAGGTTAGGGTACCTACAGATTTTGGTGTCTAGTGAGAACTCATTTCTCACAGGTGGCACCCTCTTACTGTAACCTGCATGGTAGAAGGTCTCTCAGGCCTTTAATTATACAGGGCACAAATTCCATTCACTCCACCCCAGGACCTAATCACTTCTTAAAATCCCACTGCCCAATATCATCACCTTAGGTGTGAGGGTTTAATGTATGGGTTTGGGAGAAGAAACAAAATTCAGTCCCTAGCTGGGTACAGCAGAACTGTCATTGGCCTTATAGGGCTGTGTATGGACTTAATCACAAAGCTAAGGTTTTGTGCCTCTCCCTTGGTTGAACACTTCCAAGGCCTTAGGAGGGCCCTAGCAATATATAGTCACATGACTGTGTGTTTTGGTAAAGTTTGCAAAAGTTTCATATTTGTATTCCTTTATATCCCCCCTCACAGAAAGTTTCAGCCCCACAAAACCCAGGCAGGTTCATTGTTGATCCTGTGCATCATGAACAGAGCATGCTGTGGTGTCTGGGTGTTGGCTGGTTTTGGCCCAGTTGGCAGAGAGGCTGTCAGCCTCCTAAGAGAAGAGTTCTATCCTGACTTGGTGCTTCCGCTTCAGTTGATTTGTCCTGTGATATTCAGATCGAAGGGTAATTAGTTTCCCCATCTTTGCAGTGTTGCAGCTGTCTGCAACCTTACCCAGGTGATAGATCAAGCCAGAGAAGAGCTGAGTTCAATGACCAGAAAAAGGACCAGCAACTCCACCTCAACCACCAGCAGGGCCAGCCACATGGCTTCATGTGGTGTGATTTTCAGATCCCCCAATGATGTTCCCCTACAGCCTGACTAATCCTGAAGGTTCCTTCATTGCCCCCACCCCCCGCGCTTTTTTTTAAGATGTTGATGGACTTTTGTTTATTTATTTATTTTTATGTGGTGCCGAGAACTGAACCCAGTGCCTCACATGCTAGGCAAGTGCTCTACCACTGAGACACAACCCCAGCTTCCTTCATTGCTTTTTGACTGTCATTGGTTACCAAGTCTTTGTTACAGTAGTGGGGGAAGGGGCCAGAGAGAGGCACCAGATCAGGTGCTTGCCTTGAACATAAAGGCTTGAATGTAAAGAACACTCCTGTGCTTCTTAACCACCCAATTACCCCAGGGGTAATTGTAACCAGGAATGGCTCACTTGGGAGTATGGGTGGAAGAATGGCCAGAGGAACAAGGTGGGAAGTAGTCATATGCCCTGGGAAAGTTAAGTGAGCTATGAAGAACAGAGAGGCCACTGGATTTGTTGACCTTTGAGAAAGCAAGTTAGAGTAACTCCTTGGACTATCAACACTAGAGAAGGGCATGGTCCATGTGGACAACCTGGTGGGTGCAGGGGAGCTGTTTTGATGGGTCTACGAGAGGGTGGGCATTATGATGGAAAGGAGCCAGAATGATTACAACACTGAAGATGTCTGGTGCTAAGGCATAGTAGGATCTAGGCATCTCAGCTGGAGGAGTTGATCATGGATGTTTGTGAGGACACAGTTGGAATATAGTGAATGATTGCATGGAGGATCCAACCAGTTTAGTCCCTGCCATTTCCTGCCCCATGATAGATGGTGGACATGAACTGAGGGATTTAAGCAGGACCAGGGATTATGGGGTTCAACAGTGTAAAGTCTGAGATTCCAGTGATTCTAGCACACTCACTGTGTGAGCAGATGGTGACCACCTGGACATGGAAGGTGAGGGAGGCCCGATGGAGCTGATGGGCTGCGGGTGCAGGGCCAGAGCCTGGCTGGGGCCACAAGGCCAGAGTTGCAGGTTGTAGGGACTGTGCTCCAGTAGGAATCTGAGTGCTCAGTTGGGCTGATCTGCAAGTTTAGGTTCTGAGGTGGCAGTAGGGTGCTTAGGGGTTAGGGGGCCAGTGAGGGAGGTGGATGGGTCCTCAGGAATTTATGGTTTTCTCCAGTGAGTCTGAGTTCCAGGCCCAGGCATTGTAGAGTCTGGGATGACCCAGAAAAAGTGGTGACAGCAGGTGTATGGAGAGGGTCATGTGGTCCGACTGACCTGGGCCTCCCAGAACTAGGGCCGTTGAGGCAGTGGTGGTTTATAGGGCTGGGACAGCATAGGGAATAAGGCTGCCTTCCTTCTTCTTTTTTTTGGGGGGGGGATTGAACCCAGGGGGCACTTTACCACTGAGCCCCATCCCCAGCCCTTTTTATATTTTGTTTTGAGATAGTATCTCACCATGTTGCTTAGGGTCTCAAGTTGCTGAAGCTGGCTTTGACCTTGTAATCCTCCTGCCTCAGCCTTCTGAGCTGCTGGGATTATAGGTGTGTGGCCACTGTGCCTGGCTTTAAGGCTGCCTTCCTTTCTCACGTTCAGCCCCTTCAAGCTGCTCACATGTCGAATAGAGGGGCTTCCCTATTTTATAAGTGAAGAGACTGAGGCACAAGGAGGACAAAGCCCAGCAACCACACATCTTCTGAGGGCAGAGCTGGGATTCAGTTGGCAAGTGCTTTGCTGAAAGTGACCTCACTAACACAATTGTTATTTTTACTAAAATTCACCCCTGTATTTTGATTCCTTGATTAAAATTAAGAAAAGATTTGATGCCCATTAAGAGAAAAAGGATATTTCAGCCCACATTTTTTTTTATCTGTGGAAACTTATAATAAAGTTGGTATGACTCTACCCAGAAAAGTCAAAGCATAATAGAGTTTTGGAGTGCTTTTGAATTTGAGTGTATGTGAATATCATTCACTCTCCAAAACTCACAATGCATGAGAAACTGAAAAAGCTCTGTTCTAGTGCCATCAGAACAGGCTCACCTGAGGGCTCCGTGTGTTCCCTGAACTGTAGAATCCTTCTTGTCCGAGGCCAGGACTTCCTTTAAAACACCATGTTCTCAGTCATTTTGCCAAAACTATACATTCACTTATTTATCTATAATCTTTACTTAAATCAGTGGTTTAAACCCCGTTGGCAGTGTCAAAACCAAGTACAACAAATATTTATTAAGCATGTAGGAAATACCTCATAAATAACCTTCTTTATACTTGCATACCAGGCACCCTCTCAATCATGCCAGATGTGTTTTAAAACATTGGCATTTCCATGTGAGGGTTTTCTTAGAACTTAGGGGTGCCCTTATAAAACACCAGTTTGCAGATACTGTAGCCATGAGATGTTCCCTCCTTTCCAAGACACCTTCTGTGTCAGCGAGACACAATCTTGATGTGGACTCCATTTTTGGGGCCCAAGGCAGATTTTGATTCTAGCTGCAGTGGAACCTAAAATAGAGGAAATGAAAATATTTATCAGAGTTAACTGTAAGCAGGAAAACTTCTTGGAACTGGGCCAGAAGCAGGGTCTGTGAGATTTCCTCAAGATTAACAAATCTGCCTCTTGTGGCCTGGCGTGGGCCCCAGCAGCACACCATTAATGAAAATTTTAAAACATCCCGTTTTTCTGGTGAATAAAATGCCACAAATGAGGAGCTTATCAGGCCCTGCACTTATCCACCCAAGAAATCTGGTTAGGGTGTAGTAATATCTCACTTGTCAAATGAAGAAACAGTTTCAGGGATGCCAATCAACACGTCTATGGTCACATGACTAGAACATGGAGAGTAAAGTCTTCCACTATTCTTGCCATCCCTGCGGTCCCCTCACATCTCATTGCTCTCTTTGGGGATAGTAGCTTCAGGCTGTTCTCTGCTCACCCATGCTGTGGTCCCTGATGTTCGTAAAACTTTGCCATGTCTAACTTCAAAGGCAGAGGCCATGATGGGATTGGGGTTTTGAAACCCGAAGAACTACTAAAGAAGCCAGTTCACACACCCCTGGAGTGTGTGTAAAATGAGGATTCAGTGGCTGATGTGAATCACAGAGCAAAGAAGGATCCACTGGGTTTCAGTGCTGAGGCCCCAGCTAGGCCTATTTGGATGCCTTTGAGGATTGTGTCAGGCTGGAGAAAGAGTATTTGCCATGAAACAAGATGGTCTGCACCTGAGCAGTGAGCACCCAAAATATGGTCATGCAAAGGACTGAGGTTTTGATTTGATTCGAGTAATTAGATCATAAATAGCCATATGTGGCTAGAGGCACAGCATGGGTCTAGATGAACTTGAAACAGGAGTTCCAAAAATGGGGAGGTGGGTTGAGGCTGGAAAAATCAGAGAGGGCTTCTGACTTTGAAGGAACTGGGTGGGGCTGTGAAGGTGAAGCCATGGGAGTGGGATTTCTTAGAGGAGGTAGGAGGGATGATGTTCAAGGTGGGGCAGTAGTCCGAGGGCAAAACCCTCTTGGGGTAGAACGTTGGGTGGGAAGTTTCAAGGTGGGCTCAGGCTCATCTTTAATTCAGAGTGAGTTAGAATGGGTTCAGAATGGATCCAGCAGGCCCTGGGTTCTCATGGCTGGTTTTTGTTCTCTTTTTAGTATTTTTTTATTTTTAGTTGTTGATGGGCCTTTATTTTTTAAATTTATTTATATGCAGTGCTGAGAATCGAACCCAATGCCTCACACATGCCAGGCAAGTGCACTACCACTGAGTCACAACCCCAGCCCTCATGGCTGGTTCTTGAGCTGAGGGATGTATTTTTGGACATTGATCTGGATATTTGTGTCTGAAAAGCCCCCAAAAGGAAGTAGTTGACCCTAGAATACTGAGACCATCAGATGCCCTGTCCTTCCTCTCAGTTTGACCCCTCACTTGTTCCACCCTTACCATCAGCCCTTGGTGGACATTTTCATTGCAGAGCCTCAGTCTTTGTGTACCCCAGCCAAATCCATCTTCCTCCACACCCACCTAGCCCAGTTTGTGTGTCAGAGGCACTGCCAGTCTCCAGATCTGGAAACATTGTCTGTCACTGTGTCCTTATCAGTCCCCTTACACTGCCTGTTCAAGTCTGCAGCTGTGCAAAAGGGTTTCCTGGTGGCAGGACCACGCATGCTGAGAGTCAGTCCGCTATGCAGGGAGGTAGCTTGATGTCATGCTGGAGCACTTGGGAGTGTAAAGGTTCTAGGTTTGAACCCACCTTCTTTTTGGCCAGTCACACATTTGTCATTAGAATTTGTTTAATGAATGAGTGAACAGTGCCATGGCCTGACACGCAGCTGGGTACTGGGTACTGGGCACAGTACCATTGACCCTGCCCTTACTGAATCTGCAGTCCAATTGTGTGACCTCAGGAAAGTCACTTAACCTCTTTGAACTTGGTTCCTCATTTAAAGAATGGGAATAATAAAACCTACCACAAAAGGTGGTGATTTAAGCTTCCTGGCCTACCTCTGGGCCTAGAGTATGGATGAGAGGGAGGCCGGACGGGAAGGTAGGGGCGGGCGTGAGAAGGTCCCAGATGGGTGAGCCTCACTGGAACTTCAGGAGTGAAGGTATATGTTGCTGGGGAATGTGTCATCACTTGTAACAGGGACTGAGCCGAGGCAATGGGGGACAAGAGAGTGACCATCTGTACAGTGTGGAGGGGAGCATCCTCCAAGGAACTGAAGCCCTTCTGCTTTCCATCCATGCAGAGAGGACTATAATGCGTTGGGGGAGCCAGAGAAGGTGCAGGACAAGCCATGCACCCCAAACCCTTCAAAGGTGGAACGTTTCACAGCCACGCACACATCATCTGGCTTCTCTGCTGAGGAGGGAAGAGCTGTAGCGACATGAGGCCCAGTCCGAGTGTACATCACGGGGCCACTACAGGCAGGCTTTTGTCCAAGCCCAAGTATTAACTCACAAGATTCTCACTTGGAGAGGTGGAGGGTATTTTTCTCATCACCCCCTTTACAGATCAAGAAACAGGCCCAGGGAGGTTAAGGAGCCAGCACCAGCCCTCATACACAGCCTGAGGCTGCCCTGGTTGACCAGCTGTGGTGCAGAGAACTGGAGTGACACCCTCTCCCCAGAACAGTGGGCCCTCACCTGAGTCTCAGGGCAGGCTTCGAAGCAGAATTTGCTCAGGACATGGAACAGTGTCAGCTTGACCTCCAGCAGCCCCAGCCGGATCCCAAGGCAGCTCCGGGGGCCAGCCCCGAAAGGCAGGTATGTGAAGGGCTGCCGCTGCCTCTGGGCCTCTTTTGTGAACCTGAAAGTCAGTATGAAGGTCAGTGTTGGCCCGAATGCCTGCTCCCTTCCATCTGAAGTCCCTCCTTCTGGCTGAGCAGCCCTTCATCTGAGCCCCCATTACCCCAAGTAGGAATAACCCCTGCATGGTTTCCTGCAGGACTCTCCCTAAGGCTCTGGGAACTAAATGAAATCCAGGTGGTAAATCCCAGCCCTGACCTAGAGCCAGAGGATGATGAGGCATCACCCATCTCCTTCCTCAGTTAAGTCCCTGAACACCGGCCACTGTGCTCCCTACAGACATCCCAAGGCCTGTCCTGCTGTCTCAGTTGCCTCCCCTACCACACTGGCTTTGCTGACCTGAGCACCTGAAACTTGAATCACTGGGACTTATGATATTTGGACACCAGAGGTCCTTCCTTGGAATTGCTGAATCTGCCACCAAATTGCAGCATTTGCCAGGTGTGTTGTGCCAGTGGAGCTAGGGGACCATCACATTTTGTAACAGCCAACTTGCTTTTTACTACCTCTTACTTGGGTGCTGTTGGTATTTCTTGGTCTTTAACTGTATTTCTAGGACTTGCTAAGCAGTGGGATATAATTTTTCTAGATCCCACTGCCCAGGGTTTCCTAGTGACCCTGTTGTACAGTTGGGCTAGGTCCAGATGGTGCCATAAAGGTGAAGACACAATGGCTGGCCAGCTCTGCTCCTGCAGATGGCAAAGGGAGGGCTAGCGATTGATTCTGACTTGTGACAGGGTGTGGAGGCCTGCTTGGGCATTTTAAATCACAGAATTAGATAATGGACCAAATCCTTGTCAGGAAAAGGAGGAGGATCCAGGTCTCATGAATGTAGATGGCAGGGAAGTTTAGCTGACACTATAGGATTGTGTTGAAACGACTGTTTCCCTCCAGTGCACACTCAAATACCACGCCACACCCTGCATCCTGCTTGAACAAATGGAAGAGATTGTTCTTTAGTGCATCGCTGCTGAATGTCAAATCTCTGGATTCAACTTGGGGCATTTTAAAATGTTACAAATGATGTCTGAATTGTCATGACCTTTGACTTTTGGAGGGACAACTGCCTGTACTTTTCTCTGTCACCTCCGCTGAGGAGTCTCAGTCCACAAACATGGCTCAGGGCCCATTTAACAGGGGAGTGCTCACCTTTCAGGGTCAAAAGTCTCAGGGTCCGGCCAGTGCTCGGGGTCATGGTGCAGGGCACCCACTGCTGTCTCCAGCACAGTGCCTGCTGGGATGTACTGCCCTAGCACCTTGCAGTTCTGCGCCGCCTCCCGCGTGAACCTGCAGAGATACGCAAGAGAGCTTGCAGGTGGGTGGGCTGCAGCAGACGGTGTAGCCAATGTAGGGTGTGGAATGAGGCAGGGGAAGGAGGCCCAGCCCCCATCCCGTGAGCCCTCTACTGCCCAGGAGCCTCTAGTCTCCAAGCTCCTCAGGTGTGCCTGGCCTTTGCTGCAAAAGCCCGCAGCCACCCCTCTGTCCATCCATCAAGGAAGCAGTGGATGGGGCTGGGGATGTGGCTCAGTGGTAGCGCGCTCGCCTGGCATGCGTGCGGCCTGGGTTCAGTCCTCAGCACCACATATAAATAAAGAGGTTGTGTCTGCCGAAAACTAAAAAAATAAAAAAATATATAAAAAAAAGGAAGCAGTGGAGTGCCCTCTGTGTGCTTGGGGTTGGGGGTGCAAGGATGCCTTCCAAGGGCTTGTTCCTGGCAGAGGCTTGGAGGGTAGTTTTTCAGTTCCTCACCCCCTTGCTTCGTCCCCTCCGTTTCACTGCCTAGCCTACTGTCCAGCTTCTGTCTCCTCCCCGGCCCGCAGACGGTCCTCATGCAGAGATCGACAAAGACCATTTGGTGGGTACTCTTCGGCTTCCTCTTCCTCGGCCTCCTGGGCCACTCTTTCCTTGCACCTTTCTTTGCTTTGGTTTTGTTTTTTCTTTGGAAATAATTTTGAACTCACAGAACAGCTGAAAAATAAGCTGCTTCCTCCTCCTCCTCTTCCTCCCCTTCTCCTTCTCCTCTTCCTCCTCCTCCTCCTCTTCCTCTCTCCATCTACTACTTGATTTTTAATGACATCACTTGCTTTAGTTTTCCTCCTGCGTGACAAAAGTTCCTTCCCCTCCTCTTTAGTAGGTTCCTCTGATTCTTCAACCTCTTATACCTGGTGTCTCCTAGGATGTCACCCACACTCATGACTTCCACTACATCCTGAGGCCCCTTCCCCAGCTCCAAACCAAACCACAGGTTCGTATTTCCAGCTGCAGATTAGACCTCTCCCCTGGGCTGTTCCACAGGCTCCTCAAAGTTAAGGTGAGCAGAGCCACTACAACAGTCGCCTACCTCCCCTCCTGGCTCTCCTCTAGCGGTTCTGGACTCTGCCCTTTCTGCACATTTGCCGTGAGGCTTACTTAGTGGACGATCGCATTTTACTGCCTCCTCTTTGATTGAGAGCTTGATCTTTTTTCTTCCAATTCAGTTTTCTGGCAGCAACCAGAGTGGCTTGTCAATCTTGTTAGGAGAGAGCCCTGGAGCTGGGCAGGGGTCCCAGGTGTCTGAGGCTGTGTGGCCCCAGAGTGGAGAATGGAGTCAAAGTTAGTGGCCAGTGAAGCTTGTAGCTGAATGTCAAGTTCAGTGGGTGTAATGGAGCCATGAATAGGAGAAGGAAGCAGGAGATCAGAACCCAGGAAAACTGGGAACAGTTTGGGGTGCAGTGAGAGCCTTTTGGGGAGCATTTGGGATTAAGGCCTGAAGTAGGTTGGGGCACTAGGGCCACCTCAGGCTACATCGAGGGCTGAGCTGAGGGTCTATGGACAGCTCCTAGGGCTAGTGAGACCATACCCCAAGGTGACCCCAGGCCTCCTCCATGAGCCTGCCTGTGAAGGCCCTTTTTGGGTCCTGAAGAGTTCTAGTAGGTTGAGTTCTAGTGTCCTTATCTCACCTCGGTTTCTTACACCGAGCACCCGTTACCCAAGAACACGGAGCAGCCGCACAACCCAGCACAGCGCTCATGGAAGCTTTGCCTTGCTCGACGTGGACAGAAATTCACCTGAGAATGGAGCCTCCAGTTTCGGAGCAGCATAACTTTACTCTTGGGGCTGAGCATGGCCGCCCCTCAGGTCAAGGTGGCTTTCTGCCTCTTCCAGAAAATTCTTGCCCAGGAAGATAAGCCACTAAACCAAGAAATAACTCCACTGTTTGCTTTAGAAAGTAAAGCAAACTAATTTATCTGGGCAAACAGCTTTCCTATCAGAACAATAGATTGCTCACTTGAGATAAAACAGAGGAGTGTCAACTATCAAGCCTCCCTTTAATACCCTCGCCTCCCTATAGCTACCAGCCCCTAAACGGTTGTGTCCTAGACTCAGCTCCATTTCAACCATTTTCACCTTAAACCTTTAAACCCTATATAATGCCCTCATTCTGAGGTCCTGCTAAATGAATATGCTGTTACACTTTAGATCTAGAATCTCCCAGAAACAAAAGTTGAGATGGAAAGCCAAAGAATCTCTCATTTCCTCAGTTTGGGTTATAAAAATGTAGAATTCTAGATTTTTGGTTTAGCACAAGGTTCTAAGAGTTCTGGCCATAGTTTGTTTGGAATTTTAAAAGATGGGACAAAACCTTCAGGACAAGGGCGGAGTCACAGCCACTAGCTTCTCTGTATCACACTGCCCCTTCCCACCTGCCCACCCTCTTCCCAGCTACTTCTAGGAATATGGTGTTAGAAGTTTCTTTCTGATTTCAACATCAGCCCGCTTACTAGGCAGGAGGATTCCAAGTTCTAGGCCAGTCTCAGTAACCTACAGAGACCCTGGGATTATAGGTGTGCACCACTGTGCCCTTACTAGGCATGGACTACAGTAAGGAAACAAATCCCACTTCCTCACCTTCGATGTTTCCTAACAGGAGGGCTGGTGGGGGTGCCAGTCACGGCCCATGTCAAGGCTTGGTCTCCAACACACTTTCCCTTGTAGAGGAGGCCTATTTCCCCAACCTGACTGGAATCTCAGGGATGCACATCCCTCCCCTCTGCCAGCCTACCCCTGCTCATTTCTGTACCACCCCAACTCCCCCCCCCCAAGTGCCCAGAATCAATGGAAAATCTCCTGCATATTAATCCCTAAAACAGAACATGAGGGTGTCTGACTATAACAGCCTCAAAGCTGATGAGTCAGATGCTATGGTAATTCTGGAATATTCGAATGCCAGAACTGACCCTGGTGAGGTTGGATTTACTCATTTATTTATTTATTTATCTATCTATCTATCTATTTATTTATTTATTTATTATTTTATTGTAAAATGTAAATAGCATAAAACCTACCATTTGGACCATTTTTAAGTGCACAGTTCTGTAGCATTAAGTCCATGCCTACTGAGCCACTATTACTGCCAGGTCTTTTCATATTCCCCAAGGGAGACTGTCCCCATTAACCACTGACCTCCTTCCCCTCCCCCAGTCCCTGGAACCCACCTTTGTGCTTTCTGTCTCTGTGAGTTAGATTGCTCTATAAGTCCTGTGAGGTTTACCTAAAGGAAATTGGGGTTCTCCATTGTCTGCCTCTCTGCAGATAACTGCTTCTGCTAGAGAGGAGGAGGTCTGGTCAGGTTGTCATGCCTAATGGCAATGGCATAATGCCATTTGTTTTATTTTTAGGGTAGACTATAGAAGTTTGCATACGAATCTAACATTTCTGGAAGAATGCCTCAACTTGTACCAGTGGCTTCTCAAGGGACTTGGACTCGGGCAAAGAAGGATTCCTTTGGATCCTTCTTTATTTTTTAAAGTATAAGCAAGTTATTTTGGTAATATAATCACTTCAAAAATTAAAAATACTTCTATGCTGGCTTTTACTTCAAATCTGCCCCCCTTCCCCGCCCAGCCCTTTTTATTTTTTGAGACAGGGTCTCTGTGAGTTACTGAGACTGGCCTAGAATTTGGAATCCTCCTGCCTCAGCCTCCTGGGATTATAGGTGTGCACCACTGTGCCCTGAAGCTTACCTAAATACCTTAGAGGAAATATAATTATTACATAAGTTATGATGATACCCTGCTCCTGCTCATAAAAGAAACCAAGAGCAAATGTGAGGCTCCTCTCTCTGTTCTCCTCTGTTTTAAGTTTTCCTTTAAGACTGGAATAGTTAAGATGCCAGGAAGGAGACCCCATTCAGATCCTGACCTACTCATGCAGGAACATGTGCCTGGGATGGTAGCAAACACCCACACTAAGACCAGGGCAGGGGTTTGTGAAGCTGTAACCTGTCCCGAAGGGGACAAAACAGGCCATCCCCTGGCACCTGTGCTTTTTCATCTTTACCAGAATCAGCTTTGACTACTGGAGGCTGGCTAGTAGGGCCTGCCCGTCCAGTGGCTGAGTCTCTTGCCTGGCTAGACTAGGCCTCAGGAGAGGCCTGTGGTCAGCTGAATGGTACTGTGCCCAAGTGGATTCATTCAGATCACTAACCAAGAATCGTCACATTTTCTACACTGAGTTTCTTCTGTGGATAAGTCAAGCTGTGACAGTGCTCAGGAGAAGTCACCATGCATTTCTGGGAGAAAGTAAAATAAACAAAATGCTCACTATCCCTATATCCCTCTAAACATCACTCTGCCCCACCCCTTGTGTCTGCTGTCTGGTGGGGGTTGAAGGTTGGGGAAGTGAGCTGCCAAAGAGCTGTCCTGGATCAAGCCCAGCGCCTTGTCCCCTCTCCACAACTCGAATGCTGCAGCTGCCTAGAGATGCTTCCATATCTATTTTCCTGGAGTCTCTCCGAGTTTTTGTGGGGCCAGCAGCACAGGTGTCATGGGAAAGAGAAGCCCAGAGCCAGTGTGGGGCTTTCCCAAGATCCCCCAGTGCACTTCTATGGGGGAACTTTAGTCAGTCCACCCAGATTCTCTAGGTATCTCAAGATGGTCTCTGTGGTATGTTGATTCAATTGAGATCTTGGGTAACCTGGTCCCCAGAGCAATGACTGTACCAAGTGACTCTTTATTAAGGGGTTGCCAAGAGAACTGACCATAGCATTGTGTGTCCCCACACCTGTCCAGGTTGATTTTTCTATTTTAGAGGCCGTTCACTCTGTTCTTCAACATGCCACCTACATGAGGTCTCATGGGGTGAATTCCTGATTGAGTTTAGATCCAGGAAATAGTGTGTCTTTAATCAGTTTGTAACTTTCCTCCCACTGGGGAGCACAACTGTTCGGCTCAGCTGGTTCTGCTCTCTGCCAGGAACCTCAGCCACCAAGCAGAGGTCTGACCCTAGTTAGCAGCCATCTCTGAGCCCAGTAAGGGCCCTTTAAGCAGACTCATTCAGTTTTATCACTGACTGTTTTGTTTTGAGCTTCATTTTAATGTGAATACCACTTGGAAGAAAGCTAGATATAAATCATGAAGGAGGGGGGAGGAGGAAGAGCGGGAGGAGGGGGCCCCAGAGGCGAGGAGAGGAGGAAAGATTGGAAAGCAGTTTGTTTGAGGCTCCCAAGAAAATAAAGAGCCACGGAATCAGGTCTTGATGCTGGTGTTGGGAGAGCCCCTGACTCACTGGCCTCTCTGTACCAAGACACCGGGCATGCACACCACTCTAAGTTTTCATATTTGCTTCTGAACTTGAACATCTTGCATAATATCTATAGTCACACTCTTTGTAATGCTTTTGGTTTGAAATATCACTTTGAGATACCCTCAAATCTTCCACATTTTCTCTTTAGAAATGGCAAAAGGTACCTCCATATGGTCTCTGTGGTATGTTGATTCATGGAAGTACTGACTGGAATTCATGAGATGCAATTAACTGCCTGTGCTTCTTCTGTTTCTATAACCTAAAACCTGGCCACAGTTTTGCTGCTGTTGAGAGCCTGTGGACCAAGGTTAAGATGCCCTATTCCAAGAGGAGCCCCATTTGGGGAAAATTGAAAGAAACAGATTTGATTCCTACTCTCAGGGCACTTTCAGGTTGGCGTTGCTGACTGTACGTTAGTGACATGTTGTGGGGTGGTAAAAGTGTATCGGAGAATATAATATGAAGTACCATTACTGCTAAAAGTGCTGGCAGGGGAGGAGGGGCGACAGGTGAGTCAGATGTCCTTGGCTGGGAAGTCTTGTCTAGGAGTTTGGAGGATGTTACGGGTTGGAGCTGTTGGACACCAGTGAGGAGCATCCCCAGCCCTGGATGATGTTGTCTCCAAGGGCAGGGACTTTGATCTGCTTTGTATCCAGGCTGACTTCCCAGTGCTTGGCAAAGTAGATGCTTAATAAACAGTTGCTGAATGAATAAATGATTAGACAGGGACAGTGGCAAACTCCATCAAAGGCAGGAGGCCAAAGAGATTGGCTTGAGTCGGGGAGGAAGACTACATTAAGGAAAGACTGGTGATGCTTTGAGAAAGTGGTTAACCTACAGCAGAATGGGCCAAACGTCCAGGGCATTGTGCCTGGTGTCACGGGAGACAAAGGAACCCAGGACTCAGACTTTGTCATCAAGAGCATATGTGATAACACAGCTGGTCACAGGCTGGGACCAGTGAGGGTTCCAAACCGCGATGCTGAAGGGATCCAGAGTGCAGGGCAGGGTGGGGGTTGCGCACATACCTGAATGCTGGCGGGTACATCCTCAGGGTCTCTGCGATCACCATGTCCAGATAGGGCAGGCCTTCCTGGAGGCTGTGGTACTCAGGGGCCCTCTAATGCAGGGTAGGGACAATGGAAGAAGGTCGTGTTAACTGGAGCCCCACGGCACTATGCCTTTTTCATGAACTTCAGAGTTCCGCTGCGACCTTAGCAAACACTCAAGTGAAAAACTCACAAGAGGAGAAGTAGATGCCATCTAGGTGGCATCAGACCCGCGCTCCACATTGTTCTGTTGCGCTGAACTTCACAGTGCTGGACATTATGAGCAGGTACAGTCTTGGACTTGGGTGAAAGTAACATAAATTTTGTTCCCAAATTACAGCAGCAGTTGTGTTTATTAAGATCTGATGATGTGGCTGACTGAGTTCTGCACATCAATTACCCCTTCAAACCTCCCAGCAGACCAATGAGGAAGCTGTTTTCCCATTTCTTAGATGAGAAAACTGAGGCTGAGAGAGGCTGTCACATGGGTGGAAATCGGTACACCACAAAGTTAGAAGACAAATAATGAAATAGTAAAGAAGAAAAAAATGTTTACAACATTTATAAAACCTTAATAGTAACAAAAACCCAGAGAACTATTATAAATCAGTAAGAAAAGAACTCACTAGGAAAGCTGTTGAAAGGATGCTCATAGCCAAACCGAAGAACTATAAGTGGTTGGGATGAGAAACCAAAGTAAATCAATGAGATCCCCATTTTCACACAGCAGATTAGGGCAAATTGGGAACTATTCAGATTTGGGGGGGTTCAGGTATTGGGGGATCCTAGCATCACTCCCTGACTCTCACCCACATTTGAAGGGGGGGAACATATTGCAGGTGGGTGGAGCAGGATGTGGGCACACCAGTGGGTAGGGTGGGTCAGGGTGGAGGCACCGGAAGTTTATTCACTGCTCAGTTTATTCACTGCTGGGCTGGTTTCTGCAAGGGAGGACTTCCCCGGACCCTCCCAGCCTCTCATCACATTCCTCAGGGCCAAGAGAGTCGGTTGGTAGGTCAATTAGCTAACACTAATCCAGGAAGGATCCCCACGGTGGAGGGGGGGGGACTTTCTTATGTCCCCGCCCCTCCCGGGAGCACCATGAGATAGACCTCCTGGACAAGTTCATTCTGCCACCACTGCTTCCACAGATAGGTTTGGGTCCTGGCTCCCCTTGCAGGGGGAACCACTTAAAACCTGGGAGCCACCATGTGGCTTGATCTCCCAGTGATTTCCCTGGGGTACCGCAGTAGCAGTACTGTTGCCTGTGAACCTGCTAGAAATGCAGAGAAGGTAGAAGGGACAGAGGTGGCAGGAGGGGCAGGGCTAGGACGCACTGAGTCTTGAAGTCCATGGTAAATGTTTTAGTTAATCTAAGATGGTATAGCTGTTCAGTATGGTGCATCTGTTCTTGATGCCCCTGAGTCAAGTTGCAGAATCCTTATAGTTTAATCCTGCAGAATCCTTATAGTTTAATCCCAGGTCTATATGTTTGTGAATTTGGAAGACAAGTGAAGTATTGGCACTTTGTGATAAAAAATAACAATGATTGGTTTTCCCAGTGCGCTCTCATCTCAATTCTGGGTACTGTTCCTTCGTTAGGGTCTCACAACTTCACACCACACTTCCCACTTCCACTGCAGGCCACCAGGGCTGCCAGATGAGCTCTGAGCAGTGGGAAGGGCCCTGTGCTTGGGGGCTGATGCTCTGTGGGCACTGTCTTAGAGTCCTAAAAACTTCATCTTTTCTTTTTGGTACCAGGAATTGAACCCAGGGGTGCCTAACCACTGAGCCACATCCCCAGCCCTTTTTAAATTTTATTTAGTGAGACTATCTCACTAAGTTGCTTAGGGCCTTGCTAAGTTGCTGAGGCTGGTTTTGAACTTACAATCCTCCTGCCTCAGCCTCCTGAGCCATTGAAATTATGGGCATGCGACACCACCACGACTGGCATAACTTTATCTTTGAGCCTGTGTTTTGGAAGAAAGGGAGAGGTTTATCTGCACCATTGGTGGCACCTCCTCCTGCTTTTTGAAGATAGGCCCTCACGTTTCCACTTTGCTCTGGGCTCACAAATTATATAGTCAGCTCGAAGACTATGACTGGCCAAGGAGAAAGGAAAAAAGGAGCGTTGTGTAGCAGGCAGAAGTTGAACACGGGTTGAGCATGAGCTGTTGGTGGCCACCTTCTGCTTCAGGGATTAATGAACAGAAAACAACAGTTGGCCTGGGAAAAAAGACACAAATTAGACAAGTGGAGGGAGGCAGAGGCAAAGGACAGGGAGACTGTTTCCTGGTGTCTTCCGGAGCTCCGGTTCCCCTTGGCCATCTGCTTTTTGGCAAGTAGCCTGGGGGTAGCATCTCAGCGGCTCTTCCAGCAAATTCTCACTTGTGGCCAAAGGTAGCATCTGAATTCTGTTATCTGCAACCAAAGGAGTCTTAACAAATGCAGAATGTGAAAGAAAGAAGAAAAGGAAGGAAGGAAGGGAGGGAGGGAGGGAGGGAGGAAAGAAGGAAGGAAGGAAGGAAGGAAGGAAGGAAGGAAGGAAGGCAAAAAGAGAAAAGAAAACAAAAGAAACAACACTGAATCTGGAAGCCATGCTCCCAGCAGGTACATAGTGTAGGTTCCCAGTGAAAAATATAAGCTGTCAGGGTTTGTCAAGGGAAGTAGTTAAGATAGGTTGATTATAAAACCAAAGTCTCCATCCACCCTTCCTCTGGATGGCTTTCTGTGTTTCTAGCTTCCTACTCAAGGTTCACATGTGACCATCACCTTAGCCTAGTGGGTCTGGGTGTGCCTGCGCATCAGAACTAGCTGGATGGCTTTTAATCCATGCGGGCACTTGGTCTCACTCCTCAGGGATTAAATGGGTGGCCCGGGGTGGGGACTGGGCACCAGTTCTTTTAAAGCTTGTCTGGGACATGAGTGCCTCCACATGGGAGGAGTGGAAGGCAGGGGTGGAGGGAGGCCCCACTATGTTCTAGTGTAACCCAAACAAGGCAACAAAGGTCAAGTTCCCATCCCAGGTGCAGACCCTCCGTCCACCCATCCCTATTTGCTGGCCTGTAGTTCTTGCTTTGAACCTCAGTGATTCAGGGTCCTGAGCCAGTCCTGCCAGCAGAGGGCAGCAAGCGTATGGTAAATGAGGGTTTCCCATTCCTGAAAAGGACCTTAGAAATCATTGCATCCAAATTCTTCAGATAGAGATGAGAAAAAAAAGGAGATGCAGAGAGGAAAGCCTTGGAGCCCAAAATCTCACGGAGAGAAAAGTGCTCCTTTCATTTAGCTCTCCCTCAGCGAACATCTCATGCTGGGTTCTGGGATCTGGATATAATGAGGGCCCTGCCCCTTGGAGAAACGCACTTCCAAGCATATCATGGTACTAGATGTGTAAAGTTTGCTAGAATGGGCTTTGGAGGAGTGGAAGGCTAGTTCTTGGGAGACCATTTATTCAGCCATTTAGGAACTTGTATGGAGCCAGCACATACTATGGAGCAGGCACTGTGCTAAGCCCAGGAGGTGTGACTAACAACACTGGCTCTCTTCCTCCCTTGAGACTCTCTCTCTCTGTCTATCAGGATACAATCCAGTGGAGAGGAGGATGGAAAACAGATGAAGAGCATGCACCCCAGACATTTGGGACCTAGGAGGCTGGGGTGGGGGGACAGGGACCAAGGTCTACACTGAGACCTTTCTGATGAAAAGTGGGTAGGTTTGTTTTGATGTGTGTTCAAACAAACCAATGAAAAACAAATACCATGGATCAATCAGGGGACTTTGAAACCAGCTGGATATTTGATCCTTTAAAAAAAAATTATGGCCCATTTTGTTTTTAGTGTAATGATGGCTTTGGGGTCATGTTTTAGGAAAGACTTCTCATTTTAAAGACATATATGCTGAATATTGACAGATGGCTGGATATATATGATGTCTGAATATTTTTAAAAGTTGGAAGCGGAGGAAGAAGAGTGTGGAAATCAATGAAGCTGGGTGGTTTCAGGTGGGTCCTATTGAGGTGGGTGACACTCTGCATAATAAAAAGGTAAATAAAAAGTTTAAGTGACAATAGTGAATGGAAAACCTATTCAGAAAACCCGAGGTGTGTGTACAGAATGTCAGGCTGGCCCAGTAGGTCAGGGGCCATTGTGAGCTGGCCCTGGAGAGTGGTCGTTTGCCAGGCAGAGGGGTAGAAAGGCATCTCATGAGGGCAACCGCTTGGGCCAAGCCTGAAGATGCTGGAGGTATGGCCCTGGGTGGGAAGCACATGGTGGGTGGTGGCTGCCAAGAGAGGAAACGGGGATGGTAGCTGGTATGGATGCTGCATATTTTTCTTTGGCATCTAGAAACCCTGAAACAAAAAACTGGGGTGGGATCTAACTTGGGTGAAGAGGGAGAGGAAGGAAGCTTAGTGAAGGAAGCGCCTTTCCTTGGAAGAAAAGGCTGGAGCTCACTCAGCCTGTCGAAAATGGAAGCAGCTTGTGGGCAGCCAGGCAAACAGGAGGACAGGAGCCCCAGGCTGAGCTCTGGGGCACAGTCTGTTAGGTGCCTTCGGCCTCCACATGCCCAGGCCCCCTGCCAGCAGAACCCAGCAGATGCGTTACTAAGAGCTAGTCAGGGCTCAGGCAGGTCTGCAAGGCCTGGTGGGCCAGGAAAACTTGGTGGACTGAGCAGGTTATTCTCCAGTTCCAAGCCAGGCAGCATGCTAAACTTTAGCGCTTCCAAAAGATAAGGTTAAAGTCATTCCCTGACTCCTGCCGCAAAGGCCAAACTACTCAGAATTTGGGAAGAATCTGCAGCCTCTCTCCCTCACCCTGGCTGTGTCTGGGGAAACCACCTGATCTGGCCAGGGCAGGCAGGGCTCAGATCCCGGTTTATCACCTATCAGCTGGGACCTTGGGCCAGTCACCAGGGCAACATGGACAGGTCACCATGGCTGCCGGTTGGGATCATGATGTTGTCCCTCCCACCTGGCAGTGTAGGGCAAATGAGACGACAAAGGCAAAAGTCCCTGGAAAGTTAACGGGCCCGACCAGCAGGGGATACTTCTGTTGGACATATTCAGTGGTAGGAG